AAGTGACTGGCTTACAAGCTTTCAAGAGGGAACCTAGAGCTAGGGGGCATGGAGGAAGGCAGAATCTCCAGTGAGTACTATCCAATCTGTCTAGGCGGAGCTGATGAAATGAAATGCAGAAGGGTCACTTGTGATACAATAGTGAATAATTGTTATCAGGACTGATTGTGAGGGTTGGAAATGTAAAGGTAGACGTTTTGTAGCAAGGAAGGGAGTGATTAACTCTCCAGTCTAAGAGTGGAGGTTTCTGGGACCATCAACAGAGAAGAGCCAAAAGTGGGACCCTACCCAGAGAAGCAGCGAGGCCCGAGATGGAGGCAGAGACGATGACAATGGTGGAGTGATAAAGTGGTGAGGACTTTGGATCCAGAAAGGGAGAGGGACTGTGTGCTGAAGAATGGGGGAGGGGGGGAATGTAGGGGGCGGGTTTATAGGGTACACCCTTTGGTCGATTGATGATGCATGGAAGGGATTGGAACCATGGCAATGAAACAATGTACAGTGGAATGAATGTAAAACTAAAGTTCTCCCATGTAAAATATCATATAATTCACAATAAAACATGGAATATATATATATATATATATATATATATATATATAACTAGAATAGAATAATACCTGCCCTGTCTTTCTCAAACAGCTCTTGTGAGAAGCAAAGTTTTATGTGTATGTATATATACATATATACAATATAGGATTTCCAAGGAGCAGCTGGTGAATTTGAATTGCTAACCTTGTGGTTCGCAACCCCATGACCTTACAGCACCACACCAGGACTCCATATAGATATGTGGAGTTTTTCTAGGGACATCCTTATTCATTGTCAAACTTTCACACCCATATGTTGTTGTTGTTAGGTGCCATCGAGTTGGTACCAACCCATAGTGACCCTATGCACAGCTGAACGAAACACTGGCCGATCCTGGGCCAGCCTCACTACTATTGCCACACTTGAGTCCATCGATGCTGCCACTTGGCCAATCCATCTCACTGGGGGGTCTTCTTCTTTTTCTCTGACCTTACCAAACATGATATCCTCCTCCAGCGACTGATCCCTCCTGACAATACGTCCAAAGTATGAAAGACAAAGTTTGACCATCTTGGCCTCCAAGAAGCACTCTGGCTGTACATCTTCCAAAATAGATCTATTGGTTCTTTTGGCAGCCCATGGCACTTTCAATATTCTCCTCCAACACTATAACTCAAAAGCATCAATTATTCTACAGTCTTCCTTATTCACTGTCCAGCTTTCGCATGCATATGAGGTTATTGAAAATACCATAGCTTGAGTCAGGCATACCTTAATCCTCAAGTTGAAATCTTTGCTTTTCAACACTTGAAAAAGGTCTTGTGCAGTAGATTTTCCTAATGTAATACATCATTTGATTTCTTGACTGCTGCTTCCATGAGTGTTGATAGTTGATCCAAGAAGAATGAAGTCCTTGACAACTTCAATTTTTTTGTGTTGATAAGGATGTTGTTTATTGGTCCAATGGTGAGAATTTTTGTTTCCATTACATTGAGATGTAATCCAAACCGAAGGCTGTGCTCTTTGATCTTCATCAGTAAATGCCGACTATTGAAAATACCATGCCTTGGGTTAGGTGCACTTTAGTCCACAAATTGGCATCTTTGCTCTTCAACACTTTAAAGAGGTCTTGTGCAGCAGATTTTCCTAATGCAATACATCATTTGCTTTATTGATAACAGTTTCCATGAATGTTGATGGTGGTTTCAAACAAAATGAAGTCTTTGACAACGTCAATCTTTTCTCCATTTATCATGATGTTATTTGTTGGTCCAGTGGTGAGTATTACTGTTCTCTTTACATTGAGGTATAACAGAAACTGAAGGCTATAGTCTTTGATCTTCATCAGTAAGAATTTGAAATCCTCTTCATTTTCAGAAAGCAAGGTTGTATCATCTGCATTTCACAGGTTGTTAATAAGTCTTCCTCCAATCTTGATGTCACATTCTTCTTCATATAACCCAGCTTCTTGGATTATGTGCTCAGTATACGGATTGAATACAACCCTGGTGCACAGCTTTCCTGATTTTTAACCTTTCAGTGTCCCTTTGTTCCATTTGAACAATTGCCTCTTGGTCTATGAATAGATTCCCCATGAACACAATTAAGCGATTTGGAATACTAATTCTCCACAATGTTGTTCATAGCTTGTCATAATGCACACAGTTGAAAGCCACTGCATAATCAATAATGCACAGGTAAACATATTTCTGGTATGCTATGCTTTCATCTAAGTGCCATCTGATGTCAGTAATGGCATCCCTCATTCCATGTCCTTGTTGAATCTAGCTTGAACATCTGACAGTTCCCTGCCAATGTAGTGTTGCAGCCATTTTTGAATTATCTTTAGCAAAATTTAACTTTCATACAATATTAATGACATTGTTCAATTATTTCCATATTCTGTTAGGTCACCTCTCTTTGGAGTGCACATAAATATTTTACAATCAGTTGGCTAGGTAGCTGTCTCCCAAATTTCTTGTCATGAATGAATGAGTGTCTCCAGTGTTGCATCAATTTGTTGAAAGATTTTAATTTGCATTCATCAATTCCTGAAGACTTGTTTTTTGCCAATATTTTCAGTTTGCCTTGGACTTCTTCCTTCAGATAATTGACTCTTGATCATATGCTACCTCTTGAAATGGTTGAACATCGATAATTTCATTTTGGTACAATGACTCTGTATCGTTTCCATCTTTTTTTGATGCTTTTTGCACCATTCAATATTTTCTTTAACATCTCTATGTTGAAAAGCAAGTTTCAGAGTTTCCTCTGACATCTATTTTGGTCTTTTCTTTCTTCCCTGTCTTCTTAATGACCATTTGTTTTCTTCCTGTATGATATTCTTGATGCCATACCAGAACTCTTCTGGTCTTTGGTCATTAGTTCCTAATGTATCAAACCTGTTCTTGAGATGATCTCTAAATTCAGGTAGGATGTGTTCAAGATCATAGGTTGGCTCATGTGGATATGTTTTCATTTTTTTCTGCTTCAGTCTGAACTTGCATATGAGTAATTGATGGTCTGTTTCACAATCTGCCCCTTGTTTTTCTTTAACTGATGATATGGAACTTTTCCAACATCTCTTTCCACAGATGTAGTCAGTTTGATTTCTGTATTCAATCTGGAGAAGTCCATGTGAATAACTCTCTTTTATGCTGTTTAAAAAAGGTATTTTCAATGAAAAATCCATTGGTCTTAAAAAATTCTGTTATGCAAACTCCAGCATTATTTCTAACACCAACACTGTATTTTCCAAATTTTCCCATCAGATCCTTACTCTTTGTTTCCAACACTCACATTCCAATCACCAGTAATTTCAATATATCATGATTGCATGTTTGATCAATTTTAGACAGAAGAAGTTCGTAGAATTCTTCAACTTCATCATCACTGGCTTTAGTAGTTTATGAGTTAATTTGAATAATAAACGTATTAACTGATCTTTCCTTGTAAATGTATTGGTATTATATCACAGACAGCATTATATGCTAAGATAGATAATAAAATGATCTTTTTGATGATGAAGGCAATGCCATTCCCAGCAACCATTTGATTGTCAGATTCAAAATGGCCAGTATCAGTCCATTTCAATTCACTAATACCTAGGATATTGATGTTTTGTATTCCATTTCATTTTAGACAATACCCAATTTTCCTAAATTCATACTTTGTACATTTCATGTTCTGATTATTAATGGATGTTTGCAGCTGTTTCTCCTCATCATGAGTTGTGCCCCATCAGCAAATGAAGGTCCTGAAAGCATTACTCTATTTGTGTCCTAACAATCAACTCTACTCTGAGGAGGCAGCTCTTACCTAATTGTATTTTAAGTGTCTTCAACCTGAGGTTCTCATTTTCCAGCACTATATCTGACAATATTATGGTGTTATTTGTAATGTTTCAATATTCAGTATTCTGGTGCTGACACTGTTTCACTACTATTCATAAGATTTTCCATAGCTAAACATTTGAAAATAGTCCATCTCTCCTTCTTTTGAGTCTGTCTTAGTCTGGAAGCTCAGCTGAAAACTTTCAATCATGGATGCCCCCACTGGCATTCAAAATACCAGTTGCATAGCTTACAGCATCACAGCAACATGCAAGCTACCACAGTGTAACAAACTGACAGGTCCGTGGTGATTAAGATTCTTCAAATGCTTCATGTCATTATGATTTTGCTTATTTCTCTCTTTATAAAAGTTTGCTTTTCACCTGAGATGATGTGCCCGCTTTGATCTTTTCCCTCATAGAATCCAGACTTTTTGAGATTTTATCAACATTAAAAAGTATCATCTCAAATTTACTCCTTAACAACTTTCCCTTTTGTATTCTCCTCTTATTATAATATAGAGATTGCTTTTGTCCCTTTGTTGTTGTTTTTGTTGTTAAGTGCCTTTGAGTCAGTTCTGACTCGTAGTGACCCAGTACAGGTCACTATAGGGTTTCCGAGAAGTGGCTGGTGGGCTTGAACTGCCAATCGTGTGGTTAGCAGTCCAGTGCTTATCCTACGGTGCCACACCAGAACTCCTTTTAAGTCATTATTACTGAGTCCTAGTGTAGCACTGTGGGTTAATGTACTGGACTGTAAAGTCGATTGTAATGGCAAAGTCGGTGGTTCAAGCTCACCAGCCACTCCTCAGAAACACTGTACAGGGTTGCTATGAGTTGAAACCAACTCAGTGGCACTTCACACAGGAGTCCTGGTGTGGTGCTGTGTGTTAATGTGCTGGACTGCTTCAAGTGACTTTGAACTGCAAGATTGGAGGTTCAAGCTTGCCAGTTGCTCTTTGGAAACCCTACATAGGGTGACCATGGGTTGGAATCAACTCGATGGCACTTAACAACAAACAACAAATCATCATTATTATTATTATATTCATCCTTGAGTTATGATTCTTAATCTACATTTTAATTTTATGTTGTAAAAAACGTCAAGCAGAAGCAAAAACTTACTCTTATTTCTTACCTCTCATTTCCTGAGGCAATATCAGCTCCAAGATGTGTCCAGGATTTTTCTGGATAAGCACTGTGAAGTTGAATTTTTCCATATACCCCTGGATAAAGAAAACATAACATATGAATACGAAGAACTTTCCTAGAAATTAAGGACACATAAATGAAATGCATTCCTGAGATTAATATGCAAATTAATATGTTCACATTATCTAAAAAGAAAATTTAAGCACTCTAGTTTATATCAGAGCAAATGGATCTCAGGTGTCTGTGAAACTCAGGGTCTATAGAGAAATGAATGCTACATTGAATCATAATCATTTAAAAACTGAAATATACTTTGAGCTACTAACTGGGATTTCTTGAGTTGTCGTTGTTAAGTGCCATCAACCCAGTTCCACCTTATAGTGACCGCATGTCAGGTTTTGAAGGAATGGCTGGTGAGTTTGAACTGCTATCCTGAGTAATGCAAACCATTCATATGTTTGGCTGCTAACTGAGAGGTTAGAGGTCCATATCCACCCACAGGAGCCTCAGAAAAAGGTTCAGAAAATCATCCATCAAAAACCCTAGGATCATAGTTCTGTGCTGTCACACAAGGGGTTGCCATGAGTTGGAATTGATTTGATGGCTATTGCTATTTTTATTTATAGTTGATAATACAGACTCTTAATCCAGACTTTGGTGTCTGATAAGTCTGTATATAAACCCAATTTCTAGAGATACCAATTTATCTATATAGAGATGTTGTTGTTGTCAAGTGCCATAGACTTGACTTTGACACATAGCAAATGGCCCCATATAGAGTTTCTGAGAAGTAGTTGGTGAGTTTGAACCATTGAACATGTGGTTAGCAGTCCAGTTCTTATCCTACAGTGCCACACCAGGACTCCATGTAGATATAAACATAGATGTTGTTGCTATTAAATGCCATAAAAGGTTTCTGAAGAGCAGCTTGTAGGTTTGAATCACCAATTCTGTTGTTAACAGGCTAAAGGGTAAGTCAAATAGTGTTGATACTATGAATCCAGTTCATAGAAGCATAGATTTTTTTCCCAAACAAAACAGGTTTAAACATGTCATGCATTATAAGTAGATGACTGCACACAAGTTCTCTCAGTAATACACCTGTCTTATTCTTGTCATTGTCTTAAACAAAACAAAACAAACAAACAAACAAAAAAAAAAACAGTTCAATCAAAACAATGGCTTCCAAGGGGATCTGCTGAGGCAGTTAAACTGTAAGTTAATTTTTGACAATGGGCCAAAACATATTTAATGAGGAACATGGAGACTTTCTGGCAAAACCAGAAATCCATTTGCAGAAAAATGAAACAAGACCCATAGCTCACACCATACATAAAAACAAACTAAACGTGAATTAAAAACCTAGAACTATAAAGATCATCAATTTAAAAATAGCAACAAAGTTAGAGGCTCTAATACATGGTATCAATGCTCTGTAAAACATAACTAAAAACATACAGACAGGAGAAGACAAAATAGATGACTAGAACCTCCTAAAAATTAGACGCATCAAAAGATTTTTCCAAAAGAGTACCCACAAACCAGGAAACAGGTTTTTTGGGTGGGGGGACTGATACACCAGACAAGGGACTAAACTCTAAAATGTATAGGAAGCTATAACACCTCTACAAGAAAAAGGCACTGGGCACAGGACATGGACAGACACTTCACCAAAGAAGATATTCAAGTGGCCAAGAAAGAATGTTCACAAGCATTCACCATTGTTGTTGCTACATGCTGTTAAGTCAGTTCCAACTCATTGCAGCCCTGTAGAGGGTTTCTGAGGAACGGCTGGTAGGTTTGAACCACTAATCTAGAAGTTAGCAGTCCTGTGCTTATGATGCAGAGCCAGCCACCCAAGGACTTCTCATTAGCCATTGTTGTTGTTAAATGCCATCGAGTCGATTCTGACTCATAGCAAACCTGAAAAAGATTTCCAAGGAGCTGCTTGTGAGTTTGAAGCCCAATCTTGTAGTTGAAACCAACACTGCAGTTGAGCGCTTATTGTTGTTGTTGTTAGGTGCCATCGAGTCAGGACAGACCCATAGCGACCTTATGCACAGCAGAACGAAACACTGCCCGATCCTGGGCCAACCTCACCACTGTTGCCATGCTTGAGTCCATTGATGCTGCCACTTGGCTAATTCATTTCATTGGGGGTCTTTCTCTTTTTCTCTGACCCTCCACCTTACCAAACATGATGTCCTTCTTCAGTGAGTGCTTATTAGAGAGATGCAAATCAAAACAACAATGAGACTTCAGGTTGGGGGCGGGGAAAGCAGAGACAAACGGTGAAAATTCCTCTGCCAAACCCCTCAAAAAAGCAGAGAAAGAGCAGTTCCCAGAAAAACAGCGGCGCTTTGGATCTTGTTTCAGGTTCCAGGCACAGTTCCCCCACGCCCACTGAAAAGGAATCTGCAGGTGAAAGCAAAGATTTCTGAATTGACCCAGCCACAGCAACCAGCAGCCAGAAGTCCTCAGACCAGAGGGCAGGGCCACAGCCAAGTAGAGGCAGTGACCCAGCTCTAGAAGCCACGGAGCAGCACCCCTGAAGGTATAAGTGTGATCGATTTTTCATCTTTCACTTTTCACTTATCACGTATCTCTCCTCTTCACCCTGATCGCGCCATCACTGCACAGCCCAGATGCCTTCAGGCAGGCGGTAGCACATCCCCAAAAGGGTCCAGCATTGCACCCACAGTTTTCCAACTGCATAGAGAGGAAACCTGCAGGCTGCTTCTTATGACGTTTTGACCCTGGGAACCCGCCCCATAGTTTACCTAGGCGGGACCCTTTGCACAGCAAAGGCCAGTGAACAGTGTCAATCACAATTTTATTTTTGTTTCTGATTGGTGGTTTCTGTATCTGCTTTTATATTATTTCTGTATTTGCTCCTTTTGGCCTTACTGGTCTCCCAGGGGTGGGAGCTTTCTCCCCCTACCTTACCCAAGAACAGACAGCAACTGTGCCCATATAGCCAAGCTACAAACATACCCTGTAGTACCCCACCTTCTGGACAAGAGCCAAAACCAGTTGCTAGGCATTACATGTGAAAAGGGACGCCTATCTCCAGATCATATCCACCAGGAGATGCACAGCAAGCTTAACAAAGAGCAACATACATCCATTTAAGCATTAAAAACTCACATAACTGTTGAAAATGTCCAAGAAAACACAAGTAAAGATATCAACACATGTCCAAAAACAGAAAAAAGTAACTGAGACAAATGAGCTGGAAGCAGACACAGACTTTCCAGTAGAAGAACAGGCGCTGAATATGCCTGAGAAGGACTTCAGAAGAATAATATGGAAACAAATTCAAATGCTCTGAAAAGGGGTAGAGGAAAATAAGGAATAAGTCGGGAAAGTGCTACAGGAACAATCAAACAAGATATATATGGCATTGGAAACAATCCAAAACCTACAAAAAGAAGTCCAGATGCTTAATAATACAATATCAGTAATGGAAAATACACTGAAATGGCAGAGGAGCAGAATGGAAGAAATGGAAGCCAGAACCAGTGAGGTGAAAGACAAATCTCTCAATACTGCTAAGATAGATGAGCAAGCAGAAAAAAAGGAATGTGAATCCCAGAATTACAAAGGTCATCAATGAAAAAATAGGGAGAAATGTGAGAGCTCTAATACAGGGCATACACAGACTACCAAACATTTAAAAACCTACACAAACAAAAACAGACAAAATAGATCAATGGGACATACTAAAAATTCAACACTTGTGTGCATCAAAAGACTTCATCAAAAGAGTAAAAAGCGAGCCCACAGAATGGGAAAAAATCTTTTGCAATGACACATCAGACAAGGAACTAATTTCCAAAACATATAGGAAACTACAACACCTCTACAAGAAAAGGACAAATAACCCAATTAAAAAATGGGCACAGGATATGAACAGACATTTCACCAAGAAGGAGATCCAGGCAGCCAACAAACATATGAAGAAATGTTTACGATCACTAGCCATTAGAGAGACGCAAATCAAAACAACAATGAGATATCATCTTACACCAACAATAACAGCAAAAATTTTAAAAGTAGAGGACAGTAAGTGTTGGTGAGGATGTGGAGAGACTTGGACCCTACTACATTGCTGGTGGGATTGCAAAATGGTCCAACCACTACGGAAATCAATATGGCACTTCCTCAGCAGGTTGGATCCAGCAATTCCTCTACTTGGTATTTATCCAGAGAAATACAAGCCATAACGCAAGTAGATGTATGCACACCAGTGTTCATAGCAGCACTATTTACAATAGCAAAAACATGGAAATAACCTAAGTGCCCATCTATGGAAGAATGGATAAACAAACTGTGGTACATACACACAATGGAATACTATGCTACCCTGAAGAATAACAAGGAAGCAGCAAGCCATCGCATAACATGGATGAACCGTGAGGACATTATGCTGAGTCACAAAAGGAGAAATATGGCACAGAGCCATTATTGTAAAAAAGTTAAGAAAAAACACCTACACTAAAAGGGGAAAAACAATTATCTTTTATTTTTTTATTTTATTTTTATAATTATTATCTGTTTTGCTGTTGCTGGTGGTGGTTACCGAGGTGTAGGGGGTGGGGGAGGGGGAAGGAAGGGAAGGTGGAGCACAGGGTAGTGAACAGGCACAGGACAGTTAGGTGCTGGGTGGGAGCAGTCAATGCACTGGAAGGGGAAGGGGAAAAGAAAAATAAGGCTGATGGGAGACTAGCTAGGCTGGTTTACATGGGCTAAATGGGACAGAGGCAAACAACAATCTGAGCACAAACGTGAAACAGCAGGGCTTCTGGATACAAAGATTGAGGCACGGTTTGAATGGGTAAAAGTGGGGAAATGCTGTTAAGATGCTTGAAAGGGGGAGAGAGGAATAGCCAAAAACAGCACCAGAGGAAGCTTGTAAGTCCATCTTCGGCCTATAACTGTTTGGAATAACGAAAATGGGGCTAGAACTTGCCCAATGAAGGTGGCTCCCTGCAGAGCCTTTGCACTGCACAAGACCATAGGTGGAATCCTGATCATCATTCATAATCTTCTGAGGTGGGACATTCCCATGTGAAAGGACAAGCAGACCAATCTGGAGCAGCTAGAAGAACAGAAGATACTTCTTGAAAGAAAGACCAGCAGAAAAAACAACAACAGCAACAGTAGTCCAATTGACTACTACAAGAAAAAGAAAGTTGTTCCCCAGGGAGCCATCGAGGCAAGTGGTCATGTCCCCTCAAGGAAAACCCCCCTCCAAGACTGAAACTCAAATGGAATACACTATGGTCCCGCTGCTCAGCATGTTGGTCACCGATAAGGGCAAGAGGGGGAAAAACAGCAATGAAGTTGTGAACTAAGTCTGACCACATTTAACAGACTCCTGTTAACCTGGATTGAGACCTGGTTAACCAGAAGTAAGATGAGACCTGAGGACTCCTGGGTCTAGGGGCAGGGACATGGCCCCAGAGGACTAGAATGGAATGTGAAGCATCCAGCTGATATAAAGTGAGGGGGATGCACAAGAGCACCCACACTTGTAGATAGTACCCATTTGACCTGGCATCAATGGCTGGATAATCAGAACACTACTAGAAGAAGAAAGAAGAGGAAGAAAAAAAAAAAAAGAAAGGAGTAACCCACTATAAGTGGATGATCTTTACCTATGCTTGTGGATGCAGTATGACAAAGGAATGGACAAATCTCTACAGTGAGGATCATTCCCACCCCCTTGTTACACAGGGTAGACAAGGAGGGGGAACTTAGACATTGGCTGCCCAAAAACTACAAAGGCAAGAAGTGACTAGCTTACAAGTTTCAATAGGGAACCTAGCTCCACAGGATACAGGGAAAGTAGAATCTCCACTGAATTGTTTCCAACCTGTCTAGATAGGGTTGATAAAAGGTGAAGGGAAAGGACTCATGTGGTTCAATAGGGAATGATTGCTATCTGGTCTGACAGTGAGTGTTGGAAAGGTAAATGTAAATGTTTGGTAACAAAAGGAGGGAGTGGCTGATTTTGCAGTCCAGGAGTGGAGATCCCTGGAACCCATCAAGGGATTAAAAGCAAAGTGTGAGACCATATCTGGAAAGGCAGTAACACTAAGGATGGAGGCAAAGGCAATGATGTGGACAGAAGGAGCAGCTGGGGACTCTGGACTCAGGGAGGGAGAGGGGTTATGTGCTAGCAGCCGGGGGGCAGGAGTGTGGGGTGTACCCTTTGGGTGTTTCATGATGCATGGAGGAGATTGTGATCATTCCAATGAAACAAAGTACAATAGGATGAATGTAAACATAATGTTCACCCATGTAAAGTAACACATAATTCACAATAAAAACTTGAAAAAAAAGGGGGAGGTAGGAGTAGTGAATCTTTCATTTCAGAAACAGAGGACCCCAGAACCATCAAGAAGGAAGAGTATGAACGGAGTGTGAGATTCTGCCATGAAAAGCGGCAACCGCAGAGGCAATGGCACAGAGAGACAGAGCAGCTGAGGACTCTAGGCCCATGGACTGAGAGAGGCTGTGTGCCTGTGGACAGGAGACTGCCTTGCGAAGTGTGCCCTTTGAACATTTAAATTAATATATATATATATATA